ACATACGCGCAAACACTAATTGGCAGATGGGCACTGACTGCATTTGCTGCTGCATTTAATTGTGAGTTGAACTGTGAGCAACTAGATATAGAACTTGCAACAGAAACAGAAACGTGTAACAGTCTAGGGTATATGCAAGGCCAAAGAGGCCGTGGTGGACTAATGAATTGACAGTATTTAGAAAATGAGTAAATGCATGCTGTATCAATGAACATTTAATGATATACAACTAAGGGAAGAGAGAAAAAATAAATACTATGAAGTCAATAGAGCATAAATAAAAAGTTAGTTCTACAAAAAGAACATCTTGGAAAAATTATTAGCATAGTTGATATAAGAAATAGTATTCAATATATGATGGAATATTTTGTACCAGATGATGATCATCATCATAATGATTGTGAACAGCACAAGAAATTAAACACGTTCATGATCCTTTGCAAACTCAAGACGATGTACCATTTACCAAACAAGAGATATTTACTGTAATAATCAAATTCAATCCTAGGATATCTCCTGTAGAAGATGGCATAACATCTAACATCATATTGAAATCCTTCAAGCTTTTTCCTCAGTTTTTTAGTGCAATTTGAAGACCTGATGCTTTCCAACACAGTGAAAGAAATTGGTAATGGTTCCAATAATGAAACTTGGCAAATAGGAATGTCCAATTGTTTCAAAGTATAGGTCGATCAGTTTGTTAAATGAAGGTGGGAAAGTCTTGGAAAAGTTAATGATGGAACATGAAATATTCCATCATATAATTTCAAGAAATCTGCTTAGTACCCGCCAATTTGGGTCAGATACCTCAAAAATTTATGACAGATGCAGGAACGGTGGTGAAACATTTTCTTCAGAAAATTTCCAATCAGCATCCGTGTATTGTTCTTATTAGTCTGGATGTGAAAGGAGCCTTTGATGCAGCCTAGTGGCCAAGCATAGGTAGTCTACAACAAATGAAATGTCCTACAAATCTGTATAGTCTTGTGAGAGACTACTTCCAAAATAGAAAAGCCTGCCTACACACCACCACTCTCACAATAGAAAAACAAATTCAAAAGGGCTGCCCCCAGGAATCATGTTGTGGGCCAGGTTTTTGGAATATTTTCTGTACTACACTGCTGACCATTGATTTCACTTATGTAACTGAAATTGTAGCTTTTGCAAATGATATATTGCTTATGGCAAAGTGTTATAGAACAATCGATGCGGAAAATTTTGCAAATCATGACCTCAAGAAAATTGAATTTTGGGCAAAGGAAAACAAAATTGAATTTGATGATTTAAAGTCGCAAGTTCTTCTTATATCCAAAAAGAGGAAACCTAATAGGATAATTCATATATATCTCGATGATAAACTTCTTAAGCAAGTGGATGTGTTAAACTACTTAGGAATTTACATAGATGAGAAATTCAACTTCAATTAGCATATTGATTACATTCTGGAAAAAGTTCTGAAACTTATTCATATGCTATCAAGATCTGCTAAGCTGATTTGGGGTCTAGGATCCAAAGCACTTGTTACAATCTACCAAGAAACAATAGAACCAATTTTAACATATGCTTACAAACCTACCAAACAATAACAAAAGTTGCAATAAATACTGACAGTAAGGTCGCATTAGCAAATTTGGTAAATAATTCAAAACATAACCCAATAATAGAATCCATACTTAATGAAATTAAAAGCAATGAAGAGTATGAAAATATATTTTCAGTGGGTAAAAGCACATGTGAGCATTAGAGGTAATGAACTAGCAGACATTCTAGCAAAACAAGCTGCTGCTCATACACAATTACCAATAGTATCTGACAAAATTTCAAAAACTATGTTAGGAAATGAATTTAACAATGAAGCAATTCAAATCTGGCAGAATAAATGGAATCAAACAACGAGAGGCAAAATCACAAAATTATATTTTTCCAAAAATTAAAGACAGATTAAGACAAAAATTACCTGTAATACCTGAATTTACGGCAATAACAACAGTCCACTGACACACTCGTGCATATCTACACAGATTTTTTTATTACAAGCAATCCAGCATGCGTATGTGGTGGGGGTGACCAAACAGTATTCCATATCATTTATGAATGTTCCCTACTAGTAGAATAAAGGAAGAAACTAATACAGAAGATAAATATGAAGTTAGGATACTGGCCCGTATCACCTGAGAAATTAGTTAATCAACATTTACGAGCATTTAACAACTCTATTCAGAACTTTAAACAATTATATTTATATAAATCGTCTTAAAATTTTAATGCGTAATTAGATGTAATTTCATATTAAATTTTTTCAGGTTGATTTATTTTTATTTTAAGTATTTTCGTATTGATGTATTTCATGTTTAAGCGATGTTAAACATTCTTTACTGTTATTAAACTAAACTATACATGCACTTGAAAGAATGTAGTGTTGCTTGTAATGGTACATGCTGTAAAATAAAGTTTATTAATAAAAAGAGACAGACAGACAGACACTGTCCTGGGTGGCCTGTGTGTGGGGGTGTCACACACTCCACACCAACACACACACACATGAACCAGACATGTCTGTACATGCTTTTACAATTTGTAACTTGTAAACATTTTTTTCCACTTTCGTTTGTGATTTATATAGAATGTCACGTACAATCAGTTGTTTCTGTGCGTCTGTATGAACTGATTTAAGTAAACTACTGAATCTATCAACATGAAATTTAAGTATATTATGAGCTTTAGCCGTGTGACCAACTTTGATATCCCTAACCGTTCCAAAATTATTATTACATTCTAACCTTTCCAATTTTTCATTAGAAGAAAAACTTATGTAATCGTATGCTAGAAAAAATTTACTGCGGATTCTGGTTCCGAAAAAGTGGATAAATCCTGTTGCTAAATTTAGAAGGAAAAAGTTCTCTAACTTGTGGTGTAGTTGGAATCCATGTTCATTGGTTCTTCATTCCGAAAAATCGATTGGTGGCAAAATGTCCATCTGTGGCTACCAGTAGTAGCGTGGTATTTACCTCTTTAAATCGTTGTCAAAGTTCAATCCATGAGGTGTTTCTGAGGCTTAGTGGTACGAGTTCTGACACAAGTCTGAGGATCTGTGTTAGAGTCTTGGAGTGGAAAAACAATGAGCTGCTTGAAAACACTTTCGCGATCTACGTCATGGAGCATTGAGAAACAATGCAAGCATGTATGTATTTTGGCAGCTCCACACAATTCCTTTCTTTTGTTCTTGTTGTTCAGTTTTCTTCAAAAAGGTACACATCTGATTTTTTTACAATCTCTCACTTCTTTAATATTTACATTACACATACAGTAACATTACATACAATTTTTGCATTTGTTAAAACCAGTGCTTAATGTAATATGTTGTAAAAATTCTCAAACTAAAAATTGTCTGGAAAATGAGTTGAAAATTCTCATAAACTTTTCCCCTTTTTTTCCCCCAATTTTTTTGAGTGGATAATGTAAATGATTTGAATAACACTGTTGTGATTGAAGATTTTTCTTTTTTCTTTCTTCTCTAGGGATGCTGCATGGGAGCGTGATCCTGAAAGATATGAAGGCCTTCTCCAAAGACACAACTCGTGTGATGCCAAAAGCTGTCGTTGTAGGCATGGTCGAACGCATCATGTGGCAGATACGTAAGGCACATTGTCATATATTTTGTTTACTTATTTGAGATTATTTGTGTGCGAGTAATTTAATATATTTTTTAGTGTAATAATGCAAATGAAATGAACTATGATTGAGTTCAGTTGTTAATATTATTTTATCAGTTTATGATTTACTCATTTGCTATTTATTCCATTAATTTTTGTTTAATGATTATAGTAGGCTGAAATGTGTAAGTAGTTGTACTACAAAATTCTCACATTTTTATTTTTATAATATAGAAGCTAATATGTAATGAGGCCTTTGTTTTCAAAATCTCTTGTAGAACATACCTTCTTTATTCATTTATTACTTTCTAATGAAAACTGCATTTCTTACAATATTTCAACTAGGTGAAAGAGTACATAGTGGAGTTTTCCAAGCTGATTGCAAATCTATGAAGAACATTACAATATCAAAATTAAGGCTGGGGAACAAATACCTATGTTCTGACTGAAAATACACAATTCTCATGTTCGATTCAAATTCCATTGAATTTAATATAATAATATGAATCAAACTCAGCCATCAGTATTCAAGTATATTTGTATTTTATTGTACCTCTAGGTCATTCCATTTTAACTGGTGCAGAATTAGATAATTTGGTCACACGAATGGAGGACATTTGTTTTAAGTAGCATGTAATTTTTCGTGTTTGTAGACATTTGTGGTTGTGTAAATTACTCAGCTTTAGGTTGTGGTAGTTTTTTAATCTAAAATGCATTTTATTCAATAAACTCTGGTCTACATATCAATGTGAAATATTTGCACACAAAACTACTGAATTTGAATAAAACAAATTTCGATTTTCAGAGAGTAATTGTTCAAAGAAAGAAAAGAATCACATCTTTAATATTTTCTGGATTTTTACACATAACAGTTAACTAATATTGTGTAAAATATAAATGATAAATTACATGTCTCCTAAAAATTGTATTTTTGATTTTTTCTATATTTTCAACTGTATTACCCCTGGGGAACCAGATAAAAATATGAAATTTGCACTTATAAAATATCGCTATGATACCAAACTGTAGTATGAATCTCACCTTTGTGATTTAGTTCAAGAACGTTTATATAAATTGTGAAACAAATTTCATTTCTGCTTTGGGGAAAAGTGGTGATGGGGAAAGTGGTCATATTAGGGTGAAACTTTACTTACACGTTTTTCAGGGGACTGAATGCAAAAAATGTAGTGTATAAGTGAGAATACCTCCTTTCTTTCCTAGTTGGTGAAAGGAGCGTAGCGAAATTTGCGTGGTCAGACGGAAGAGCGGGCCTGATGGCCCGAGTCTCGCCACGTAAAATAAGGCAAATTCAATTCAATTCAAAGGCAGAACAGAGAGTTTTAGGAGAATTGTTTTGAAATTTGGGAGTGTTTAAATACAAGAAATTGTTCCTTAAAAATGTTAGAACAATTAAATTTATTATTCAATTTTTATTTGTTGGGGAAATATGATTCATGTCTTTTGTCTCAGTGAAGTATGAGAGATAACCATTTATTTATTTCATTTATTTGTTTAAGTAATTTACTGGCAATTTCCACCTCTGAAGTCAATGTTCATGTAATTTTTGGGATTACATGATACTGATAGAGAATATAATGTGCATATAATTATATTGCAATTTTTAAACCTATAATAAATGTTGGCACATTTGTTTTTTATTGATAATCACATCAGCCTTGTTTCTATTTCTGCAGGAAATGGGAAATCAAATTATGTGCACACTGTGGATCTCAAGGAATGCATGTGCAGTGCGGCAACTTAAGACTTTCTCAAGACTGGATTTGTTCTGTGTGTTCAAATGTTTCTGACACAAGAGGTAAGTGTGCAGTTGCAAAAGGGAGTAGTAACTAGCGAAATTATTCAAAGAAACTACAGCAATAAATACTACTTGAGAAGGTGATGATAAAAAAAATTGCATAATATGTTTTCAATTTGTTTGTATGGTCTGAGTTCATGCATGTTTTTGACCGAAATTTTTCATGTGGAGTAGTCTGTGTAATAGGTAATTAACAAAGCCAATGGTAAAGGCATTCTTTGTCACAGCATTTGTATTCTAATCCTAACATAACTTCACGTATTTTCTTGGTAATACAGGCAGTAACTTCTGCAGCATAGTGCTCAGAAATAAAATTATTATGATTTTTAATTTTAAATCAGTTATTACAGAGAATTCTCGAGGCTTATTCAAATACCACAGACCTTGAAATAATAAGAAAGATCTGGCCTGGTAGGTCTTTAAAAGTGCCCCCGACAAAATAAGTTATACATTTTGAACAGTAATTCTGGCATAAAATAAAATTTGTTTCACTGAATTTTACCTCCTTACTTTCACCCAATTAGACTGCCATTACACTAAACTGTTTTTCGAAGTTTATTTTCCAGTGTCTTGAAGCATTGCATTTTTTTTTTTTTTTTAATAAGCATGATTTTCTGTTTACAAATATTTTCTGCATGAATTGATAGAAGATTGAACAATATATTGATTTAAAAATTCATTGGTAAATAAAAGTATTAATCAGTATGGAAATGTTTAAATAAAATATAGAATTGCGAGGTTACTTAATGTGTGTACAAAGCCAAGTAAGATGAAGTAAAATGTTTAGAACAATGTTTCCAGTATAATTTATTTATATATATTTTTCAACTCTTTTTCCAACTCAAAATCCTCTCCAGCTCTTGTACATAACAAATTTTCCTCTGATTCAGTTTAAATTTTCAGTTACTTCATGCTTAGAAATTATTGAATAAAAATTAGTTTTTGGTCTCATAGGTATTTTTTTATTCTTAAGAGTATTATTAAAATTACAAAAAAGTAAGATACTGAGGTAAAACTATTTTTAAATGAAATTAACACTAGTATTTAGTGACGCCACCGTTCGATACAATTTTAGCTTCAATGCGTTGCTGCACGCTTTCTATACAAATTTTTGTATTTTGTTGCCGTTCAATGTTGTAACGCCATTCTTTGTACAGATTTTCAAGTAGTGGTGATCTCTTCCTTTGTGAATGACTGTTTGGTGAGTTCCCACTTGTCTATATAGGGTTCATGTTTGGTGAGTTCCCCAGCTAGGGTAAAACATCATTCTTTTTCTGCCAGGAATGCAGTAATTCTCCTGGCTTTGTGGCACGGTGCTTAATTGTACGTAAATACCGTCGGTCTTAGTCACTGTTGTTAGAGCTGTGACAGTAGCCGAGTTTCCTTTTCTTGTATTGGTTATGCCTTGTGGACCCTTTTACAATGTATGTTAAATTTGAAAGTGACAAACTTAAATATTTGAGTATTAACTTAAATACACGGTCGCCAACCGAAAAAGGCAATAATTAATTAACCATAGTGGACATCTACTAGCAATACTCAACATAACACAAACCCTGAAAAGATGGCACTAGGACATATCCGAAGAATACAAAAACTGAAAATTATTAAGCAGGAATTGGATCAAGAGTTTTCCCAGTAATTGGGTATATTTCTAAGGTGGAGAAAAATTATATATCAAACTTGCAATCAACAATTTAAGTTTATTAAACAACACTAAATTTCCAAAGGAAGAATATCAGATTGAACACACAAATTTGTAACAGTGCAGGTATATGGGGTCTATAGAAAAGGCTTACAAAGTGCACATAAATTAATTGAAAACATAGCCCCTATGCCCTGTAAATAAATAATTTAATAAATTCTCCTTTAACCCAAATCCCATTTAGGAGTGAGTGGCAATTTAGGAGTGGTTGCCATTTTTGTAAATTTTGAAAAAAACAAAGAACACAGCAATATGGCATTCGTCATCTTATAGAGTACATTTAGCACTCTCCCTTGCAAAACATGAAAGAAAAAAATTAAGCCGTTTTTGAAAAATCTTGTTTTAGTTATTTTTTAAAATTTCAAATATTGCACGAAAACGCCTAAAATTTTCAAAAGAATGTTCATGACTTTAATGAAAGAATTTCTTATGAAGAACAAATTCAAACTACAAAATTGAAAATGCCTTAAAGTCTTTTGTAAGTCGTGTATTTCATTTCAAGTGAGTGGTTTTTTTCGTAATTTCTTTTTGAAATTAATGGAGCATTATGGGTGTCTATCGTACATAACAATAAAATTGTAATATTGCAAGAAAATATGTGCTGTTGTAGAACCACTAGTTACACTTGAACTATGGTGTTGAATGCTGGTATGTGACCAGCATACACTTCCCATGACCCACACAACAATTAGAAAAATTGAACTCTTTTTAAGATCAAAAGGTGGAACATGTCACATGGGAGTATTTGGTCCTGCTGCATTACCCCAGATGCTGGCAAATAGTACATTCATAGTTGGAATCCAATGGAATTTAATGCTGCCCTGGTTGTATAAATAATGTATTAATAAATAATAATATTATTTCATTACTTGTTTAATAAATCAGGGCTTTTCTCAGGAACTCAAACCTTGGAATGATAGTGCCTCCTCACAAACGTGTTGGTTTTCCTGTGCATGCAAAACTTCTTATATTAGCACCTCATTGTCTGAGCATTGCCATTAAATCACCACTTTTCAATTTGGGCTGTTATCAGAAAAAATAAATAATCTAACTCAAAATATTATTTCTACAAGATAAACACACAATTTGAGTAACAAGTTATTTTTTCAACTTGAAGAAGAGAAAGCTGTAGGGAAAACAGGTTTAGGAGACAAGCAGGCACTTTGGAGCAGATTGAAAGTAGGGTGAAAAAGAAAAGAAAGTAAAAATATAGAATTAAATGATTTTGTGAACTAGTTGTTAATACATGTTTTGTTGTGCTTGTGCAGAACAACATCCTTTATACTATAGCTCACATGTGTAAACAAGCAAAGGATATTCAACTTCATTTCAAATACCCAAATTAGACAAGGTGTTGGTTTCCCTCAAATCTCAAAACCTCCATTACAAGAAGAATGTAACGCACTGATGTGTCATTCAAGAACACACGCATGCAATGCCAGAAATTATTTTTAAAGCTTTTGATATGAAAACTCGATCATAGTACATTCGCACCATGCTGTGGGGCATTTTCTCCTAAATCATTCATGTCTGCTTAGGATAGATTCCCTGTATTTACAATAGTTAATGCTTAAATTTATTTCAAATGAATAAACTTTATTAATTACATCAATATTTATTTATAATTAATTATATTGATGTTTTGGAATTTAGTTAAAGTATTCACGAATCTCTGGATAATATTTTTTTACTTGAAATGAAAGATATTCTGATTGTTTAGATTAACTGTTTGAAAAATAACAAAAATTTTATGAAGATTGTTTTATTTTTTATTTTTCCAGAAGTGCAAAAGACTGGAAAAGTTTCACATTCTCGAGAAGCCCACTTGGCGCGAAATAGGGATAGAAGAAGTCTGCCACTCAGGTATGTTTCGGTGTTTTTTCATTTCTCAATTTTCTTGAATTTGAGATAAAGATTACAAAATATGCCTTGTTTGCCATTCTCTCACTTCTTGTGTTGTTCATTAATTCTTTCAAAATGGAAATATATTTGTTACTTTCAACATTTTTGGAAATAGATTCATGAATACTGTAACATACTCCTATATTTCAAGTAAATAAAAACCTAGGGAATAGGTTCTGTAAAATGAAAAATTCTGGGCGGAAATTGGTGCAACAATAATACTTAGATTTATTTCACTCTGGGGATATTCATTGAATGGAAATGGTTTAAATTTATTGAATGTTAACCACAAGACTTCATTGAGACATTTTTTTTCTTCTTCATTTTCTTCTTCTTTCTTCTCCTCCTCCTCCCTCTTCCTGCCTCCTCTTCCAGCTTCCGACAGGAAATGGCTGATTTGCGGCTGAAAAACTCCTATTGCCCAGGTCGAGCGACATCTGTCATGGAAAATATCTGTCTCTCTAGGGTCAATTCTAGTGACTAAACCATTTGAATTTCCTGATCGATTTCAATGAATTCATGGCCCTGAGTTTGAAACTGTTATTATGATTTGGGGGTTTATTTAAAGCCTAAACATTTTCTAATATGGCAGCAAAGTTTTGTATTGAACTTAGCTCTTTGAAGGTAAAGGACAACCCAGAGTGGTGCAGTTTCCATTTTTGTGTAAAGTCCTAATTTTTTGAAAAATGCAGTAGTTCTTAAAACTACAATATGGAAAAAAATTTCCTTAACCCAGATAACACCCTAACATTGTTGAAATAATGTATTTTCTTCAATAAAACATTGTTGTAAGGGACAATGACACATTTTAAGTCAGAAACACATTGCTACCGTTATTTTGATACTATCATTTACAGTTATTAAGAAATAGATTTTTGAAAATATTACAATTTTTAATGGACAAATTGGCTGATGCTGTTATTGACAGATGTGTATATTTTATTTCATATAATGTCAATTACTCTGAAGCTGTTGATATAATAGTGTTACATTACAATTGAAGTTTTTTGTCAATTGTTATTCACTGTTGTTTCAACCTTCCTTCCAGAAGGATGACAGGATTATATGTGGTTATTTTATTCATAGAGGAAACTATGTACACTGTTGGATCTTCTGGACATTTTAGAAAATGATGCAATAAGAAATAGTGGTGTGGATGGAACATTATATCCTCTTCTAAAGTCTATTGATGACATAACAGATTTGGGTGCAGAAGAAAATCCAAGTGTAGGTTATTTACCAGCGAGGTGACTAAGTGTTACTGCGCTTCGTGATTTGGACATTTTTGCGACAATTTAGAGAGATCATATCATTTGTAGAGAATCCGCCCATTACAGTTTATGCTGGGTGATACATTCAAAACAATTTGCATCTCGTGTGCAGTGCCACTCTTGTCAATGAATCAATGGTTCCATACTTTGAAAAGCACAGCTGCAAATAATCCACAAAAGGAAAACAACGTATCCAAACTCTGGTATTGAATTACTAGTGGTGAGTCAGCTCGCACCCAACCAAGGAGCTGGCGCATGTAAAGTTAATGAAACCAAGGAATGGACTAAGACGTAATGGCCTTTGTGGTGCAGTCACTTCCACGTTTCATTTTGAATTTTCTTTGATAATCTGTTCACAAGTATTGAGCTACTGCATGTCCTAAAGAAAAAGGGCATGAAACCAACTAGAGAGTTATCATCTGTAAATAAATTAACAGGATAGTGTATCGTATCAAATTTGTTCCAACTCAGCATCAGAGTTTTGTTCAATTAGGGTCAATTTGATGCAATAAAAACAGTGTTGATGCTATAGCCACCAATTCTGTCATAGTTCAACCATTGCATTCTGTAGAAATATTTTCTTTGGAAAAAGAAAAGAATTACCGAACCTGTGCCTAAATTATTGCATTCCTACATGGCACTTATGGGGGGCATATCTCGAGCTGATCAAAATGTATCACTATAGTTGTTCCAGAAGGGGGGGGGGTATCTTCCATAGACTCTACAGAGCAAAATACCTGGTATCTTCACAATCAGATTGTAGACGCAGTATATGTGCAATTTAGCGGCCAAATTGCCACTGCAACTCGAGAACGTAACAAAGAGTGACTACTAATAAAGGGAACTATAAGATTTTCCATTTGATGGAAGGGAACATTATGTTGCTGAATTACTAACAGACGAGAAAATACAAAAGCAGTAACTGCAATATCAAAAATGTGATGAACTCTTTCATATTTGTAGCTACAGTGAATAAAAGAAGTTTATAATATTCTTTTGATTATTTATTGCAGTTATTTGTGGTTGTAACCACTTGTCTTCACGTTTATTTGAAAATACCAATGCCCAAACAAGTTATATGTTACAAGTCTTTACCTTCACAAAAAGTTGCCCTACTGTCCTGACATCCTTCTGGAAGGATGGAAGGACGCTTGTTTTTGCAAATATTAACAATATAAAATTAAAAATTGATTTTACTTTCATCCTGATGACCTTCTTTGAGAATACTAATAACATATAACTCAATTTCGATAATACTTGCTCTCGCTTGCCTCTTCTCTGTTGGAGGCTACAAAAATTGGTATTACTCAATTCTTGATTTGCGAACCCTGTATTTTCACAAATTGCAAGATATGTAACATTTCAATACTAAGAAATTGAAGATATAATTTTTTGTCTTAGACAAAGTGTATACAAAAAAAAATCGACTTGAAAGATTTATTTATTTATTTTATTTATATATAGACTAGTTTTGTTAATTTTTTAAAATTATTTGTGCTCGGAATTAATGCAATCAGTAAAGAACTCAAGAAAAAGAAAGCTCTCAAAAACTGCTCCAATTTCTTTTCCAGGGATAGAATAAGGAATGCATAATAAAATGATGTGGGTCTAATTTTTGTTGATCTCTCGAAATTTTCTAAAATTGCGAGTTTTGAAATTGTGCTGTTGTAGGACCATTGGTTTAGTAATTGAGCCTTGGTAGCAATTGAGAATGTGGTGTGTATGGTACATCTCGTGTATTTCAGGGATTTTCTATTCATCATTTCATGGCCTTGGGAGTTAATTTATTTATTTACGTCAAAAACTGTTAAAAACTGTGTGTGTGTTTGTGTGTGTGTGAGAGAGAGAGAGTGAGAAAGATAGAGAGAGAGAGTGAGAAAGATAGAGAGAGAGAGTGAAGAAAAGTAGAGAGAGAGCAGAGAGAGAGTGAGAAAGATAGAGAGGAGAGAGTGAGAGAAGATAGAAGAGACGAGGTGAGAAAGATAGAGAGAGAGAAGGAGAGTTGAGAAAGAATAGAGAGAGAGAGAGCAGTGAGAAAGATAAGGAGAGAAGAGTGAGAAAGATAGGAGAGAGAGAGAGAGAGTGAGCAAAGATAGATAGAGAGAGTGAGAAAGATAGAGAAGAGAGTGAGAAAGATCTAGTGAGAGAGAGTGAGAAGATACGTGAGAGAGAGTGAGAAAGATAGTGAGAGAGAGTGAGAAAGATAGTGAGAGAGAGTGAGAAAGAATAGTGAGAGAGAGTGAGAAAATGAGAGAGAGTGAGGAAAGATTAGTGAGAACGAGAGTGAGAAAGATAGAGAGAGAGAGGAGAAAGATAGTGAAGGAAGATGTGAGAAAAGATATAGTTGAGAGAGAGTGAGAAAGATAGAGAGACGAAAGTGAGAAAGATAGAGAGAGAGAGTGAGAAAGAAGAGAGAGAGAGCCTGATAAAAGAATAGAGAGAGAGAGAGAGTGAGAAAGATAGAGAGAGAGAGAGAGTGAGAAAGATAGAGAAAGAGAGAGTGAAGAAAAGATAAGAGAGAGAGAGACGAGTTGAAGAAAGATAGAGAGAGAGAGAGAAGTGAGAAAGATAAGAGAGAGAGAGAGGAGAGAGAGAGAAGAGTGAGAAAGATTAGAGAGAGACGAGAGTGAGAAAGATAGAGAGAGGAGAGAGAGTGAGAAAAATAGAGAGAGAGGGCAGAGTGAGAAAAATTTAGAAGAGTGAGAAAAGATAGAAGAGAGCTGAAGAAAGATTAGATAAGAGAGTGAGAAAAGAAGATAGAGCAGAGTGAGAAAGATAAGATAGAGAGAGTGAGAAAGATAATAGAGAGACGTGCAGAAAGATTAGAAGAGAGAGAGAGAGTGAGAAAGATTAGAGAGAGAGAGAGAGTGAGAAAGATAGAGAGAGAGAGAGAGAGAGAGAGAGCAGAGAGAGTGAGAAAGATAGAGAGAGATGACGAGAGTGAAAAGATAGATAGATAGAGAGAGAGTGAGAAAGATAGATAGATGAGAAGAGAGTGATGAGAGCGCCGTCAATTGATATTTCCATGTACTTAGTTGGATCTGTTTAGTTTATCATATTAAAAATGCAATATGCCAAATTTTCAGCTGATGGACCATTCTTATAGAAGCAGTTGGGTCATGAAGCCAATGAAAGTTTATGAACTGATGAGTAGCCTGAAATAATATTGTGTGTTATAAAAGTCATCGAAAATAGACATTTGGAAATGTAAGGTTTTCGTAACTCTGAAGGAAATACAGTATGCTCCAAAAAAGTCAAACTTAGGAGCAAAGTTTCCTCTTGAAAGTTTTGTTGATGACAAATCTCTTTACTTTAGAAGGAAAAATTTAAAATCCCCCATCATCCTTCTTCCATCTCATTGAAAGTTGTTTATCTGTTTTGCAAGATTTTCGTTCTCAAGATTCTGCATCAATCTTGTAGTAACTATGGTACTTATCCCTCATATGTCAGTATCGCTGCTTAATGTGAAGCATATTGTCATTTTCTAGGACGCTATTGACTTGATATCTTTCCTACTACATTCTACTGTCATAGAAAATTTTTGATATCTTACGTTGTTAATATGTAAATAATATTTGACACAGGCCTCCACAACGTGTAACACGACAACGCCGACCTCCAGAAGAGGAGATTGAAGAAAGAGAAGAGGAAAGGAGCAAAGAACCCCTTAGTGTCCATTCCAAAAGTGAAATATCTTTCTCAAAAACTGACAAAGGGGCTTCCTCTACACCACAGAAAGATGACTCATCTCGGGTCATCTCTCAGTCTACAGAAGTGAGTCCAGCAGGCAGACAACCATCGCCTGAGGAAGAGAATAGTGACGTGGAGATTTTAGAAAACTCTGATGATGAAATTCAGGTGATCATCCATTCACTTTTTGTTCTTTTTTTTCTGTGTTATTCCTTTTTTGTACCAATGTTACATGTTGATGAAACAGTACTGAGTGATTAGTGTAGGTCTGTTTTTTCAGTATGGTTAATATTGTTAATCTTGATAATTTTCTTGTGTCTCCTATGGGCATGGAATGGTGCTTAAAAGAATCAGAGCTGGATTTTAACTTTGGTTTTACAGAGAGTTACCAGTTGCTGGGAAATAATAATTACAAGTTTATAAAATGTATAATTTGTGTTTGTACAACTATTCAGTTTCTCTTGCATGGTGAAATTTGATGCTTTTTTGAATTTTGAAACCATGTTTTGCTGTAAAAAGAAATGATATATGTATCTAACAATAATTGCTGTAGATAAGGCACCTTTTCCATCTTATTTATTGTTATTATTTTTATTTTTTAATTATTGCTCTTAGAATATTTTCTTCTTTATGATTTTAAGTTGTTGACATCAAATTGAAATATATGGATGAAATCAGGCCCTTCATATAGTGATGTTTTACACTCTCATTCAGGTAATGTTTGGAGAATTTGGTAAAAATAAGATACTTTTTTTTAGACATTTAGAAACTCTATTAAAACTTAAATTAAATATTAAATTTTGTTCCAAAAAAATGAAAAATGAAAATCCATTCTGTGTTCTTGATCAATTGTCCCAAAATAATTACAATGGCATAAATTTGGTTGCATTTGTTGAGCAGTCTCAATGCCATACTTAAAAAACATATCTACATAATTAAAAATTGTATTAAATGTCCTTGGTCATTCCTGTTTATAATTAGAATTCATTTTTTTGATACTTGAAAATTGTTGCTGTTGTTTTTCTCTTCTGCTTTCTTTGATCTTTGTTGAACCTTAATAGTAGTGTTTGGGTTTGTAGCTTGAATTAGGAAGAAGAAAAAAAAAGAAACGGAGTAGTAATGATTTCGTCTGGATATGTTTAATGTGTAAATAGAAAATTAGAGAAAAAATACATTTACCATATTTATCCTAATATAAGTCAACTCTGAATAATCATGAAGTTTCCAAGTTGTGAAGTTTTTTTGTGGAAAATATTTGTTGATTATCCTTTTCTGTGATTGATTAAGGATTGTATACATATATTTGTTGATTTTTTTCATTTGTCTCTTGGAAAATGCACTTTCCGGGAGTGGAACTGAGAGTTGGCATGATCTCATCAATCCAGTAATGTGCATCATGTAACAAAATTTCAGTAATAATAATGATTTATTTTCACTTGATGAAATGCCATTTGTAACAGATTCTTTTTACCCGGCCAATTCAAAAATAAATTGTGAATGCGAGAATACTATTGCGAATGTTGTAAAGCATTACAGATTCGTGTTCTGTTTTTATCATCTTTGCAGCTTATTATTTTCCCAACTTTCACTAGCTTCATGATACAGAAAAGCAATATAAAAACATAAATACTTACCAACTAGGCCTAATATGTAAATATGTGTTATATTCGGGTAAATATGGTAATTGTTCTTTAGATATCAACATGCACACACTATAATGATGGACTGAATCAGTTTTCTTAATATATTTATTCATTATGAAGCTATTGATGCTAAATCGTAGGACGTGATTTTCTAAATAAAAAATTATAATAATTTAAGCTATCCCTCGCAAAACGTCCTTCACCAATCATCTTCAAACAGCTTACTATATTTGCTCATTCCACTGAATTTCTACGTACTAAAAGACGTAATACATTCTGAAAATAAACCTTGTTGCTTCATATATATTTTAAGACCATGTTTGAAACACTATTGTCAGTCGGCACAGTTAGATGCATTTGTAACTCCATTACAGTGGGTTTCACAAGCAATTTTAAGCATGCGATCTTTGGAAGTTTTGATACGTTTCCTCCCTCCTATCCAACCCGCCCACAAAGTCGCACAGAAATATGCAGCAAGAAAGCTGTCCTCACAGTGCAAGTTCAGAGTAAAAATGTGCTTTCTAATGTTTTATGTGAAAGGGAGAAATAATTTGGCTAGAAGAGATATCCCTTAGTCAAAAATTAAAAAGTGGAATACGTTGGCAAGTAAACTTGTAAATAATTTTTTAAATTTTTACTTTCATACACTCTCTCCACTCTCTCTCTCTCCCCTCCCCTTTCCCTCTCTCTCTCTCCCTCCCTCCCCTTTCCCCCTCTCTCTCCCTCCCTCCCCTTTCCCCCTCTCTCCCCAATAATTTTTAATAAACAAAACTATTCCAAAAATCCTCAAATGTTATGTATCTGCCATTTCATGTGATCTTTTGATTTCCCAAGCCCCTATTATTTTGTTGGTTAACATATACGTCCAGATGAAACCAAAAATACTCTTAAGTGCTTCAAGATCGTCACTTACAAACCAAGCCAATTACAATAGTGAACACAAGCAGTCGTTTAAGTATCTTTCAAGTCCTGTGATGTTCATGGTTTGTATGTTCTCATTTTTAAGAATTTTTTTATATTTTTTTTATTATTATTATTGTATGCAATACTGTTTTAAACTAGTATATATTTTCCTTATAAATGTTTCCTTAAAGATGTTTTCGGCAAAGTTGAAAGAACATCTAGAGTTTCTTTCAGTGTTTGTCCATGAATACTGTACTTCAGTGACTGTTTCCAATTTGCCATGCCTCCTGAAGGTTCACTAAAAGATATTTGGAAATCTTGATAGAAATTGTCTCGAAAAAAAACTATTCGCTGTTAGCTTTTTGGCACACTTTCGAAAATGAGTTAAGAAATACTTCTCCCCTAAGAATTTGTTTTGTTCTATCCTGAGACACATCAAGAGAATGAAGGTAGTTGTTTTGCTTTGATTGGGTGCAATGTAAGCCAGAGTGAGAAGAAAGGTGTGATGAATGAAGAAGGTGCCTCAAATGTTGCCGAAGAACGTATTGCAAAACGTTAACTTTTCTCTGAGTGTCAGGGTTACATTTTAAACCGGTCACCGGTACAAATTCAACAAATACTAAATTAAAGGCTTATAAATTCAAAGATCAATATCCTTCTTAAATGGCATTTACACATTTCATTGTTTTATTACATGTAGCGACTGAATCTGAATGCTACATCTGCGAGGATGCTACATTGTGCAATGGATGAATTGAGCAATTTGATGTAATTACATTTTACATTTAAATGAAACGAATTTTATTCCTTTGACAATATTTAAAAGTAAAAAAATATATAAATTAGATCGATGATTGAATGCAAGTCCATTGGTGTTTATTTCAGAAGTCAAGAACAATAGTCATTTTTAACTTTTACAAATGAGATATCATAGATAAACTCTTACAGTGTATGCAGCACATTATTCAGAAAAGAAAGAATAATATTTCACATAAGCTTGCTTTGATTACATTGAAGTGAGATAACAATTTCAGAATACCATATTAGCAATCAAAGCTTCCTAAAGTAAAAAAAAAATGTATTTGTTCTTTCTTTAAATATTCTAAAAGTTCTTCTTTAAATATATTAGCATTCTTAAATCTGTTTCCTTTCTTCATAGTGTGATTAATGGTAGGGTCATCTACATCGTATGATTCACATGACTGGCAACAATCATAATAATCCTAAGAACTTCCATCCACTATGCTGCCGTTTTGTGAATTTACATCGCATCAAAGAATTTTACAGTATCAATTTTTTTAAATTTTTCTTTCTTTCTTTCTTTTCTTTTTCTTTTTTCTTTTCTTTCAAATTTTCACAAATTAAAAGACTGAGCAGAAAAATGGAACCAGTACTGCTTTCTTTACTGTTCTTTGCTTCATAGATGGAAAAAAATTGAAGCAGATTTTGTGAAATTGGTAGTTTAAAATTTAAAAATTACCTACATTTCACATAAACAATACTTGTATTTTCGAAAAATTGAATAGGATCTTATTTTAAAATGTTTTAATTTAAATAAGGGGGGGAAATAATGTTCATATAGTAGTTCTAGGAAGACTCCTGAAAAATGATGTGATTTGCATTTTTCGAAAAATAAGGGATTTCAATGATCCTGTACCATTCTCTTCTATGTCCTTTATGCTATCCTAGAACAAAATGTTGTTGTTATAGATCTTCACTACACAAGATGTTAGAGGAATTGATTTACTTTTTGTAGGGTAGCATATTGTTTTTCTTCTGCTTCTTTCTTCATGTTTTTTCTTTCCCTAGGTAATTATTTTCAAAAATTCCAATGGACATAAAAAAGTAAGCTTTTCACACATAAGCCGTGGTGATGACTAAATAAAGTGCTTTAGCAATTTATATATCAAAAAATTCGTTTTTAAAGTAATTTAATAAAACTTTTTGAACAGCTTTCTTTAAACACTGTTTCCAAGTAGATCCTGTAAATTGGGATTTGGAAGATAATTATATTGCTGTTAAAAATTTATTAAAGATACCAAAGTCATAGAAAGATGTATTAAGATATTCAAAGAGTAACAGTTTACTAACTCTTAATGAAGAGCAACAACAGTGCATTATACATGTTTTTGAAAAACATTGAAGATATTTTCCAACTGCCAATAAAATAGGCCTAATGAAACCTTTCTAGAACTATTCTTGTAATAAAAATTAAATAATAAATCTTGTGTCATTATTTTCATTTAATGTTATTCAAAATTCATCACAAAAGAAAAAGTCCCTGAGATACTAATACAACACACCTGTCTTTGAAGACTTGCTGTACAGGAAATTATCGTGAAAACAAAATTTATGAAGAAAGTAAATTTATAAACCTCTCTTTGGGGAAGGGAGTGGAGCGGTATTGATGATAACTTCCAATCTGTTAGCCATAGTTTAGTTAGCATTTATTAAAAAAAAGACAAAATAGGCATGCAAAATAATTTTCTTATGTTCTTTATTGTTAATATATATATATTAAAAAAATGTACCAAAAAGTGTGCCAAAAAATGTACACACTATAAGCGAATAAAAATAACCGTGTTAAATTTTATATGATATTTACATGTTAATTTGTAATTG